TAGCAATAGTACTGTATATATATATATATATATATATATATATATATATATATATATTTATTTTTTTTTTTTATCGTGTTTTGTTAAATTGTACTTATAGAAGAAAAAGGTTCAAATACGTTATTACTGAAATATGCTAATACTACTGCTAAAACTAATAATAATCATAATAATAACGCATTATTACTCATATAAACATATTTTTGGAAAAAAGCTATGCTTTATGGACCTTATCCATATTATCTTGACTTTCTCTAATTTTTCTCTTGTAAAAACATAACTTACTTCAACACCTGCCGTCTCATATATTTACTTATATGTGTTGAAATGATTTGTAATTTTTCTTCTGTCTAATGTTTTACCTCTTCTCTGGCGATACGCATGTCGTCTGTCACGTTAGAGAACACGGTGGGTTCGATGAAGAACCCTTTCAGGCCCAGAGCTTTGCCTCCACACTCCAGCTTGGCTCCTTCATTGATGCCGCTCTGGATGAACTCCAACACACGATTCTGCTGCTCCCGACTGATCTGCAGAGGTCGAGAATATTCAAATTCACACACATGATTCATCTGAATTCACCTGCAATCCACCAGTCCATAAATTTGTCTTTAGATTTCATTGAGTGACCAAAATAATAGGATTTGGACATAAAAAGCTAAATTTAACAGATTTAAAAAAAGATATAGGTAAAAAGGTAAAAGATTAACCAAACTAGATTTCACCTGTGGACCCTGCTCAGTTGTAGGGTCAAAGGGGCTGCCGACTATCCTCCTTTTGGCTCGTTCCACGCTCCTTCGGACAAACTCATCATATATGGAATCCTCCACAAAAATGCGTGAACCTGCTGTACAGCATTGGCCTGCGTTGAAAAACACGCCCTGATGGGCCTGTTCAACCGCCACATCCACTGTGAAGAAAAGAGTTTTTAGCAAATCAATACATAAAAGAAGTGACTTTCTCATTAAGAGAAACCATTGACTATAAACAATCAACAATTGTTCTACTGCTGGAAATGTCGTAGGAAAGACACTTTTGCTGATGCTGTAGGCATCCTATGCAAATCCGACACCAACAGGACGGAAAGGGTTAATGGACCCCTTCTGATTTATTAGTCTCGGCTGAAGCACCCAACTGAGTCAGGGTCCATTCTCTTGATTTACAGGCCCCAGTGAGCCCCTCTCACGCCTGTTGAAAGCATTTGAAAATGTCTGCCCCCTTACTTTGGTTGGGCACCTCCAGGTTGCATAAAATGCATTCAACCAGAACTTTTCAAAGCACATTAAGGCTTTAAATCTTTTCAATGATATAAGGTAGTCTTTTATTTGAATAAAATGCTGACAGAGACAAATAGGCTTGTTAGATCATTAGAAAACAAAACATGATGTTTGCCCCTTTCATGTTGGACAAATTCTGTGATTGTTGTCTTTAACTTGCTGTAAATTACAGTGAAAAGCAATTAAAAAATACACACACACTTGCACAAACAGATAACATCACATAAATTAAATCATGTTGCTTTATTGCATAAAAGTGTTTCAGTTTTAGTAGCTCAATAAATATGGAATCCAGGGACTATCATCAGGGTTTGATATTCATTATTGCTAATGCATAAGCTGAGTTTTGTGATTTGTTTATCATATTTAATCCCTAATTAAAATGTCTTATCTAAAGGTAGAATATCACTGTCTGTAACAAAAATTGTCTGCTGTCTGTGTTTCTTAACCTTTTCAGTATCTTAAGTTTCTAAGAAATCCATCTTCATCTTGGTTGGAGGATAAATAACGATGCATTAATTTGAGAGATTGTCAGGATTTATAAATATTTTTTTGACAATGTTTGAGGAGGTTCAACCTAACCTTCCAAAGGCAATAAGTGGTAAAAATGTTAACCAGTTAAGAAAAAATCTTAAAATGAACTGATTTTTTCAGCTCTTTAATCTGACAGTGAACGTTTTAATAAAAGCAGAAGAAAATATTGTTTCTTACTATATTAAATGAACCCTTGCTTTAAAGATTTTTGCTCTATCAGTCTTCTTTGTCTGCAGGACAACACTTAATACCAGCTACACTATTCCACAAAGTTATATCATTCAGTGAGAGGGTTTTACAGTATTCCTCTTTGAAACATCTGTCTACATTTTTCTGTAGAGTCAGTTCGAGCTGTTTTAAAAATCCCTCAATTTTACTTTGAGTTTAGTCTTATTTGAATTACATTTTATTGTTTTCACACACTGAGGAGCAACAATGAGAGAGAATTACATATGAGAAACAACACCTCTAAGGGGAAAAAATGCATAAAGGTATTTAGTTACATTTTCTCCCAGCAATTTTTAGTGGAAAAAATCTAATGGTCACTATGTATGAAAGTCTATTAAATCTAGAACTTTACTGTATAGATGAGGGTCAGAAAGATGTAACAGCTGGATATGGTGGTGTGAGACATTGTCATAATGGTACACGTTTTGGCTAAAAGTTATTTTTCACAGTGTTACACTGCCATAAAGAAAGAGTTGGAGATGTTGGTTCTTTTGTTTTAATGTTGACTGGATACGGGAAGTGTGCGAGGCCATTCATAATACCATTGAGTGGCGATGTGAGAATAAAAAAGAAATTAATTTGCCTTTTCTAATGTGTTTTTAAAGCTTTGTAAGTTTCAGACGTTTTGAGGCTCCTCAAATAGCACCTAATTACTATATGGCAGCAATATTTACAAGCAGCAGCTGGAAGAAGGCCATTACATATTCTAGATACAAGCACTTTGACTGCTTGGAAACTTACAGTCTGCATCTGCAAATATGATGTTGGGATTCTTCCCTCCCAGCTCCAGCGTTATTCTCTTCAGGTTACTCTTCCCCGCCGCCTCTTGGATTAGCTTGCCAACCTTGTGAAAAGAACAGATTCAAAGTTTACCAAGAGAGATAGGCTTGAAGCCAGTTTAGTAAATCATCCCAAGACATTGAATAAGTTGAAGAAGCTGCTTTGCTCCAAACAAGGAATGCAGCAGTCGGCCAGCTGCATGAAACATGAGTTCAGCAAACACAGAGCATGAATATCGATTACGGGTTTTTCGCAGACACCGGCAGGAAAACAAAATGATGTTTCAGCTTGGAACAGCATCTGATATGTAGCAAGGGGCAGGAAGAGGCAACCACAAGGTGTGTGGGTGGTGTCCTGTGATCCAGCCAACTGTGGGAAGTTTTGTTTGCTATGAAACTGGTCCAGTGTTCTGATATGAAAAACCAGTGGGGATTTGCCTGTGGCTTTTTTCCTTATCTTTCTATTATCATTGTTTCCTCTTTACTTCTTATCAGGAGAGATTATATCACATAACCAGCACTGGAGAACAATAAATAAAGCATTTAAGAGCTACATTCTTTGTTGAGAAAGCTTTGGGGAAAACCCTCTTTGGTCAGAAAACTCACATGCATAAATGATTTTAAAACCGCATGTTTAGTATTACAAGCAAAAGTTTTGTCATTTTACAGGTCATAATTTTAGGCTATACATTTTCACATACTTTAACTTGAGAATTGAATCCCGTGCTGGCTTTGCCAGTTGTTTTTATGCTGCAGACTGCTGTTATGGTTTGTTATTTAATTCTATTTATATACTGGCAAAGAACAATTTTCCTCTTTAAAGAGTTTAGGGTAAAAAAATAAATAAATCCGTATTTCTGAGACATTGCAAAGCAGACAGATAAGAAACCTTTAAAATCCTCCCACATTAGCTCCCTCACAATCCAACACCCCCTGGTAAGTACTCATCTTTCCTGTTACTCACAATCCCTGTTTTACTTTCCATAGAAACAGACAAGATTAAGTGGAAAAGTACCCGCTCAGTGTCTAAACTAAAACACTCCAGCTCATGGAAAAGCATCATCTTCTTTCAGTATCTTTCTGTGCAAACTGATGATGATAAGAGAAAAGTTTAGCCCGGTTCTCAAGCTGTATAAAAACAACGCTTGCTTTGACTTTGTACTTTAAAAGATATATTGTCTGGCTTTGATCAGAAACATAAAGTGGCTGACTCAGTGGAGGTTTGCATTTGCTTATCCCAGAGTAAAGGAAAGCATGCTGGGTCTTTAGAGTCCTCTATGTAGAGTACCAGTGATACATGAGTCAGGATGAGTTTTTCCCTCTAAAATCCACCTGTAGTTCAAACTCTGTGAGGGGATGCTTGTGTCTTTCCCCATTTCTAATACAGCCCAGTGACTCATCGTCTGGGCATCAGCCGTCTCTGACAGCGACGCCTTTTTCGCACACTAATTGACTCCAGATAATATAAAAACAACAGGGAAAACAGTCAAAATAAACTGGGGCACTCGTAAAATGTGAACATATAATTAGGAAAAGATTTATGTTTCTGTGTTTATGTTGTCTTATCTTAATCTGACACAGTACTGATTTGCAGTATACTCAGAAAAATCCAAGATAATCTCCATTTAAGCTCTGCAAGGTCACATGCTCATATGGATAATGAAGTTGTAACTTTTATTTTTACTATTTCTAACTATTTTTGAAAGTAATATATCTGATTACGTCTGAATAAAACAGGCCAATTACTTTGTAATTGGCCTTTGGTTTGGTAAACAATAAATAACCAATTAAAGAGAAGTATTGCCTATGTTGTATTTAAATGACCTCACCATGACTGATTGAAATAGCTCTAACCAATAGCAGCATGACTTACTTTCTGATTATTTGACTAATAATCAAGATGTAAATGGAATGAGTGAAAATCTTTTAAAGATAGACTAATCTGTGGAACATGTTTTCAATGTACCAACATAGATAGGAAAATAATAGGAAACTGGGGTAAAATTTGGTTTTCCCCTGTCTTGTAATATTTGTCGTTGAAACAGTCGATAACAGCACCTTTATCAGGAAACTCAGAAATGATGCGTGTTGTTGCCTTCAAAGAGTAATAAGACATTTAGCTAATTTACCTGAAAAAACAAAAGTCGCTCATATCCCCATTTCTCACCTATGCATTGGCATCTATCTGTTGTTACTGTTTTGTTAATCTGACTTATTAATAAATGACGTGATTTTGAAATCATGATTGATTTTCAGTCTTGATAGACATAGGCCAACATTGTGTCATTCACATTAGGTAAATGAGGGGAAAAAATACAAATATTGGCTTAAAAGAACAGCACCACATACTGAATTGGGGATTGGTTAGACTGATTTGTAAAGCACTTATAAAACAAACACAGCTGACCAAAGTGATGTAGGTCTGTACCTGTATCTGTTGATCACTTATTTTTGCTCACAGTTAGTGACGTAACTGTAAGTCCCTTCCTGCAAGTAGATATGATCTATTGGGGTTGCAGCATAGATACCTATCAATGATTTAAATAAAATGCCAGTGCATCAATAACTGCAGCAATTTTGTCTTTGGTTAGCTAGATTTCAGTTTTAGCATTTCTCTATGTGGCTCCAAGCAGTGGAGTGTTATGTCTGAGCATGCAGAGGCTTATCAGATGTTGCTTACAGCTCAAACATACATGAATCAGAGGAGACATGGTTCATTTTCAAAGGTACTTCATAAACACATCGTTTTTGCATTGCTGTGAAGGATTAGAACAGAGAATGTAGTCAGGTGGACATGACAGATGTTTATAAATTATCTGCAGAGACGTTACTTGCTGTCTCTCTGATGTCTGCCGCAGGAATCTGTTCAGACCACAACACTCAACACCTAAAATGGTATTTCCTTTTGCTTTGCATTCGCTGCTTTCCTGTTCTATAAAACAAATCGAGGTTTATCCGCTCTAGATCCAGTTAGATAAAGAAAAAAAGTTTTTAACATGGAAGAGAATATGAATATATATATATATATATATATATATGCACTAAATCTCAAGGAAATATATTTTATACTATAAGAGGGAAAATACCAAACCATATATTTAAATACTCTGTATAAAACTATATGTACCCTGTATTTCCTCACTGTGTCACATTACATCAAAAAACATTTTAGGTCAATAAAGGGTGCAAAAATATGATATTTACTAAATGCCAAAAAAAACTAACAATATAGTTTTTTCAAAACCTATTTTTACCATCTCCTTCATATTCACAACTTTATATGAATTAGGCAATTCCCTTAATTTGAGTTAGCTTTTTTAAAGCAACTCCCCACACAACCTTATAGCTTGACATTATATGGAGGTTTTAAAAGAATCCTCAGAGATAGCAAAAGGAGAATGGTGGATCTCTATTCGTTTGGTTTATCCTAGGGAATGCTTTCCTGATTCCTGAAGGCACCACATTCATTTGGTCAAATAGTCAAATGCAAGCAAAAAGACCATGGGAATCTTCAGCCGACATACCTTTGAGAAAAAAGATTTTTTTTTTTTTTTGTTTGTTTGTTCTAAAAATATGTTTTTTGGTTTAAAATGTGCTTCCAGTATAAACCAAAAATTACAATTTAGGAAACTTGTGAAGATGAAGACTGAAGCTAAGAGAAATTTTCCAAAGAAAAATGTCCTGCCCTGACATGGACTGAAAGGCCAATCAGAGAGGAAGAAGCCATTTTCTTAAAGGTACAGTTAAAGAACAAAAGACAACTCCACTCATCTTTTTTGAGTGGCCTTAAGACTAATTGTTTAAACAATGACCATCATTATATTTGGAGGGAAAAAGGAGGGAACCTGCCAGTCTAAGGTCACCCTCCAAACTATGAGATAGAGAGAGGTAGCATCATAATGTTTGGTTGTTTTCTATGGAAGGGACTTTTGCACTTCACAAAATAGGTAGAATTGTTAGAAAAGATTACTATTACATTGTTATTCTTAAAATAATGGTGCAAGTCTTTTTGTTTGTTTTTATTTTTAGTAAAAAACTAAAAAGTTCACAAAAAATAAGTCACATTCTTGACACAGACTATTATTAAAGTAGGGGTGGAAATGCATGATTCACTCAACTGGTGATATTGTCCATTTTTGCAAGCAGTGACCAGCAACATGAGGAGGTAATTTAGGCTAAAATGTAACTAATATTTTAGGAAGGTAACAATATAGAAATGTTGAAGCAAAATAGCAATTAGGAAGTAAAGGTTTAAACACAAATTGGTGTTCCAAATGGAAGATGACCAAAAGCGCATTGCCAGATTAGTTGTGTTTTAAACTGATTTTTAATTCTCTCTCCCTAAGTCTTCTTGTACTTAAAACACGAACAATCTTAGTATTCCCAACTGTTGTATAAAAGAAATAATAGTTTACTAGTTTACTATCAGACAGCAAAAAGCAATTATATGATTATTTTTATTGAGTGTATGTAAATATCTGGTTTTAACCAGATGTGCATCTGTGTAAGATAAAATCAAAGCCTCATCACAAGGATTAATGACATGTTATGCATCTTATGTAAGATCCCATTTGTTTGTTATTAGGACTACGCACACAACATCCTCTTATTACCCACTCTGCTCCTTATGCTATGCACATGTTGGTCACTGTGTCACTTGTTCCCTGTGACAAAAGCAAGCAAGCAGCAGCTGGAGATCTGAGAAATACAAACCTCGGTTGATCCCGTGAAAGCAACTTTGTCTATGCCCATGTGCGAAGCAATTGCAGCTCCTGCTGTTGGACCGTATCCTGGCAAAATATTGATGACTCCCGGTGGAAACCCAGCCTGTCAAAACAATATGAGAGGAAACAAGCTTTAGCGGAGATGACAGCAGAGCCAAGCAAAACCGTAGGCGTTGTGGGGGGAATCCAGACCCCACCCAACCTGTCTTTAACTAGGGACCAAGATCATAAGGAAGAGGGCTCCAGACAGATAGTCTCCTAAACAAAGAAGGCGCAGCTGAAGAGGACACACCGGAAAACGAGCAGATGTGGACACTTAGATTTGCACATAACTTAGTGGGACTGGATCGTAATATGAGCCTGCATCGTTCCTGTGCTGTTTAACTTACACATCTGTTTATTTCTATTTTGTTCAGACAGCTCAGTCTCAATCTTGATTCTTAAAAGCAGAAGAATAGTGCACTGTGCAATGCACTGCAACCCATTTAGCACACACTACTGGTTTAAAATGAAAAACACATTTGTTAGAGTTCTTAATCATACTTTCTGATGACTCAACTGTCTTAGCTGAACTGTTTGTATTACATTATGAGATAATACTTTAGATCTTTTATTTGGTATGTCAGCGTTCTCTTGCGACGTGTCAGCGTTTATATTTCACAAGTGTTCAGGTTAAATCTGTGAAATAACAAACAAGTATCCAAATTCCACTTCTTTAAAGCTAAGAAAATCGCCTTGCTTTAAAGATAAAAGAAATTTTCACAACTGCGTAAAATGTTACGTTTTTGAATATTGCCTCTAAGCAGCCAGACAAACTCATCGTTGTGTCCACACATAAAACCACACCTTTGATATTAGTTGTGGTTTTATTATTTTTTCCGAGTCAGGTCTCTATGATGGATTTGTTCTCTTTCAATTTAAATTGTTAGAGTCTAATTATAAAGTAAACTGAAATGCTTAATTCTTTTGTACAGTACTTTCATATGATGAAGTAATAATTTGCTTTCTCCTAAAAAAAAAAACACTTATTCAAGCATCTAGAGTCACTTGTGGTGTAAAAGCTCTAATAGAAAGCAGCACGACAAACTTCTATAACTATATTATTAGGAAATTGTAAATGAAACAATTATTAAGAATTGTTTTTATGTGCAGGGAGATAAACCTTTCTCTAAAATAGCATTTTTACATGCAGGTAAAAGTTGGTCCAATGTAATCAATTCACTTTCTTCCATTTTCATGTTCTCATTCAGCACTCTCTGCTGCACTTTATGAAATGGAAATGTTAATTTCCCTGCTAAGCTGCTGCTAATTTACTGTCTGAAAGCTTTTTACAAAACGAAATTTCCTTTTGTACACACTATGTGTATATAAAATGACAATAAAAATTGTCTTAGTCTAAGGAATTCGAAGCATCAGACTTTCTTCTTAATATTCAGAGCAAGAGCTCGGCTGTAAACTACAACAGCTTTTCTTTAAAAAATGGATTATTCTTCATAAGCTGTGGATCCTTACACTTCCTCGAAAATGGCCACGGGTCTTCTTAGTTACTCTGATCGATGCACCCACTGCCCAGCCTTTTTGTTTTGTTGTTAACCCTGACCTGCCTGCTGTGTTCACGGGGTTCTCTAAACAGCCTCTGAGGATTAACTATTCAGGCAACTTCTGAATTCATCCCTGGTATCAGAGTAAAAGGAAGTGAAAACATTTTGTATGGGCTACGTTTCAGGTTTTTATTTGTCTCTTATTTTGTAGATTATTCACAATAAACCCCAAAATAAGAAAAAAAAAATCCAGAACTTCACTCTAAAGATGTAAGCAAAACAATATAGCATTGGGGAAATTCACAGGTAAAATTCGTGCTTTTAGCAAAAACAAAAAAACTATAAGAATGGCAGTGTTTGTGCTATTGAGTGTCTAAAAGATATACCTCCTTGGCGAGAGCAGCTATATAGAGGCAGGTGAGTGGCGTCTGCTCAGCTGGTTTTAGGACAACAGTGTTTCCACACGCCACCGCTGGGCCCAGCTTCCACGCAGTCATCATCAGAGGGAAGTTCCACTGTGCACAACAAGCACACAAGCCAGACAAATCAAGCAACTGACACGCTGGGTGGTCACAAGTCAAGTTCAATAACTCATTGCTCTTAAGTCACTTACTCTCATTTTCATTCTGTCTAAACAAAGTCAAGTGAGAAAATGTTCTCGGCACTGGTACAGTGCTTTTTCTTCCCACAGCATTCTGAGAAAGTCGGGAAATTGCAACACATGTGCAATAGAGCCGTATCGCTATACAACACGCAGGCCTGTGTTATTTCTGCCTTACAGAGGAACCCATGGGGCTGGGGGCAGAACCACACGCTTTCTGCACTCTTGCACAATCAGCAGTGTCTCCTTCATCCTTTCTCGTCATTCTCCCTCCCTGAAAGCCGAACACGTGAAATCCCTTCTCTTCTCATTTATCATTACTCAACCTCAATGGCATAGTCATTTTTGGGGGGGGCTTTTTGAGTGGGTCTTACCAAAATAAACAATGACTGTCAGGGAATTACTGGAAAATCATGAACATAATCCAATAAACTGGCCAGTTTCTCTTTCATACTCAGCCAGGTCTTTCTTATCTGACTTTTCATTTTCGTTCTTGTACATGTCCCTTGAGGAAAGACTTATACTCACGGGGATAATTTGCCCACAAACTCCAATAGGCTCATATCTGGTGAATGTCATATACTCTCCATCTGTGAAGGATAACACAAGCAGATATACATAGTTACAAAAATAGTCCAGTCTGAGTTACTAATTTCCAAGTTTTGCTGAAAAGCTTGAAAAGTAACTCAAACACATGTTGAAAATTCACCATCCGACACCATTGGTGTTGTCAACTCTACATGCTAATTTGTAAATGAATCCATGCTGAACATTCCTGCTTCCTTTACCCTGGTGAGAGATTACGTTTCGAGCCCTGTGTGTGTGTGCGCTTTAGGTCATACAGATGGGTGTTATGCTGGAAAGGTTTGTTCATTCCTCTTGCATTAGCTGAGTTAAAGGAGGTAGTTACGGAGGGCGTGTCATGCTTGTTCACGCTCCACGAAAACAATCTTTATTGAGAAATGTGTGTATGAATCTAATACAACAGTGGTCAGCTGATTATTGCCTAATGTTGCACTTGGAAAGAAAGATCAGAGGAAGATGACAAGCCAAATATTTAGGGGTTGTTTTTTTTGTGGGAAACAGTAGAAGATTGTAAACAGCAGTGAAACTTCCCATATGCTCATTGTTTCATTTTATTCCAATAAGGGTGCTGGATCATTTTAAAGCCGTTTGCACAGTGAGCTGAGATTTTCAAGAGAAACTCAAGTGTCTGCGAGGCTTATGTGAAACTATGACGCTGACAATCGACTTGGATTTCAATTTGGAACGAGCGATGTAAACGATACCATACTGTGTAACCAAAGGTGCTCTACATAATGACACTCCCTATTCATGTCATGCTGCCTCTGATACAAATTTAATACCACAAGCCTGGCTTAACAAACCAGACAAACAGAGGGGGCTGTTGATGGTGGGTGTACTGCAGCGTATCTTGACAGGTGAACAAACACGGCCGCTTACATCATGCAAGCTACAGGAATATCCCGGCTTATTTAATGTGAAAAGCCTACAAGAGGAAAGAAGCTCAGAGCACAGCCCTGGGAAAAAAGCACACCGCTGCCGGTCTGGCAGCAGTGAATAACAGAAGCTTTGAGAGGAACAATGCAGTGGTATCAACAGGTTTCTCATGTCCTCGCTCTCATTCTTTTTTTCTCCTTCCTGTTGAAATCGACAGCCGACCTCTTCAAAAAGCAAATTTAACTGTGTCAAGGGGACGAAACTGGTGGCTGCAACCTTAGAACAGTGAATGGATAACAAGGGTTTTGATTATTCACCAATTTGTTGTCTTTCTTGGTATAAAAACACTGTTTATGTAAAATCTATTATAGCTAAATACTGAAATCTTGGAGCTAAAGAAATTCTAAAGAACCAAGAGCTAAGTGACAAATCCTGTTTAATTCTACTATAATTTTATTGGTTTGTATAACTTGTATTGAAGTAAATCTGATAAAGGTTAACATATCCATTCATCCATCTATCTATCTAATCTATCTATCTATCTATCTATCTATC